CAAATAATAAGCAAATAATAATAGTGTTGCAGTGTTGTGAGGAAAGGCATTTTGGGCCCAAAGACTTGTCTAACATCTCCCCCAACTTTGTGACGGGGCCAGTAAAAGAGACCACCACCAAGTCTTGCTTTACAACACAATCATAGAAAGCAGGATCCATTTACAGACAACCCTCCAGGCCAAAGCAACACATACATTCACACCAAGGTTTATCTGCAAGCCAGACTTGAGAACTTCTTCCCCACAGAGAAGAAATCGTGAGACATGTCAGCAAATCCAAGCCACCTAAAAATGTTTATGGTTGCCACTCATGCTTGAGCTCTTCAGGTGACTCTCTTGAGCTAGTCTTGCCTTATTTGTTGAGTCTCAATTTGCATTTACACAACTGAGCTTGCCGGCGTTCACGTTGCCATGAAGCGAATCTCAGAATCGCACCCCCAAGATCTCCCAAAAACTTAATCTGAGAGTGCTTTCATGTAGGACATCTGGCACCTTCCTTCAGCAAACACCACTGCTAACTGCAGAACTTGGTCTGCAGGCTTCAGTAGGCAAAACAGTTTGAAATGGGAACACTTGTTATCAGTGCCTATTACAAAAGGAGTTGCAAACGCATTGGTTGAATAGCAAACGTATTCAAGAAACTAATTAGGTGCTGGCCGAACAGAGGCTAAATCTGCAGGAAAAAAATCATTCTAGTTCCCAGCGAGCTGCAGGCAGTGGCCATTGAAACTTGCATTGCAACAAGGAGGAAAGCAGGCCAGATGGATGGCACCCAACCCTCTGAAACGGAAGTATTCACTCCCTGCGGGGCAGGGCCTCCGGCACACAGTTGGGTGGCTCTGGTTCATCCCAGGAGAGGGCGCTGGTGCACACAGTCCTTTTGTTACCACAACAGCATTAAGGACTAACCTCTGTTGTTCAGCTGGATGGAAATAGGGCAAATAACAGGGATGAAAAAAGCACCTCCCTCCCCCTCCCCCTTCCTCCACTTGTGGTTGGAATTCAAACTTTGGACCAAAAGTTCCAGGGATGTTTCATTTTTTGAAATATTTGGACCAGCTCTGCTCCAACTGGACAAACTTGGCACACTGCCTGGTAGACACAACGTTGCACAGGTGGTGGACGGACAACCTGGGAAAGGCAATCTTGGCCAGGGGCACTTCTGGAAGGTGCCCTGGGAGCTTGAACAGTCATGCAGGTGGAGATTTGGGGTTCTCCCTAAAGGATTTCCCCCTGTTGCAGTAAATTGCATGGTGCTGGGGGTTTCAAATGGAGAAAAAGCTGCATCAGACCACCTGAGGCTTGACTCTGAGGGTGTGAGGAGTTTAGAAATCACTGGCTTTTGAGGTTTTGGCTCCAGATTCCAAAGGGTGGGTCACGACTATGGGGCAGGAAGGGGAGGAAGCTCAAGAAAGGTGATGAGGAGGATTATGCAGCCCTGAGATTTTTATTTCATTCAATAGTGAAGAAAATCTCGCTCCATCTCTTCCTGCAAATGCTGATCCTCCAAGGCCAAATATTTTATGCTAACCTCCGGACACGCACGCGTGCGCGCGCGCACACACACACGCACACACACACGATATAGGCTTAGCATTGCTATTATGGATCCATTTGTCACACTAAGTACATCCGAAGGGGGTGGCTTGCAAAATAGTCTTTCATTTCAACTCGGAGCTTGAAAAATGCCGAGAAACGCTATGTGACTCTTTCCCCCTCAGATAGCACAGTGTCATTTCCAGTTGTCTCCCTGCGAGAGCTTTCCTTCAGTGCCTCTGCTTCTGTCCAAGGCTTCTCTGTCAAGACCTCAACTTCCTGGTCCCCTTGCTCCCATCCCAGTGTGACACCGCTCCCCGCATGTGCATGGAGCTGCAGATGAACAGATGAGGACAGAAAACATGCTTGTCCCTTTGGAGCAGAGAGGGCTGCCTGAAAAGAAGCCAGCAAAGCTTCTGCATCCATCAGTTGTTATAATCTATTGGAGACATAGTTTGGGGGGGGGGGGGGCTGCCCGGCTTCACAGCCATTTCGTTTGATGAGGGCTGTACCCCCAAGGGGGGGGGGGGGGGCTGCCCGGCTTCACAGCCATTTCGTTTGATGAGGGCTGTACCCCCAAGGGGGGGGGGGGGGGCTGCCCGGCTTCACAGCCATTTCGTTTGATGAGGGCTGTACCCCCAAGGGGGGGGGGGGGGGCTGCCAGACTTCCCAGCCATTGAGTTTGATGAGGGCTGTACCCACAAAACTGGGGTTTCCTTTATTCAGTTGGACTGGGGAGCAGAGATGGTAGAGAAAGCCTTTATCATTCAACATGGATCCAACGTGCTTTTCAAGCGCAGCAATGGGGGTGAAGGAGAGCGCAGGGAAAGCTTTCACTGAGGTGGCCCTTTAAGAACAGAGCTGATGTTAAGGACCAGCTCTCCTACAGGTCGAGGAGGAAGACGTTCAGCAGCAGATTATTTATGCTGGGCTAGAGCCATCACAGCACTGGTGAATCCAACGAGGGGACTCAGCAACCACAGACTTTTTTTCTGCAGAGAAAGTTTTATGTTCATTCCTGTGGACGGGCTGCGTCATGCCCCCGAGCTCTCTAGGATCAGCCAGAGGCAGAATTCCCACACTGCTGCAACAGAAAATGCTTGCATTTTAACCCCAGTGCCTCTCCTGGCCTGCAGCTCCATCTCCAAGCACCTTGGATCCCGTGGGGTCCAACACGCAGCCACGGACCCTGGAAGCACCGACTGAGCATTTCTTGGATGCGCAAACAGGGCTGGGAAATGTCTCCTTCTTTAGCTGCAGCCACTGCGGTTATCCCGGACTTCCCAGCCTGCCCTGCGGCACCTTCCTAGCCCACCAGCAGGAGGTGCCATGAGCAGCAATCACTGCACAGAGGCCCTGTGGCAAATTTGTGCATGCTGTAGTAAGCCACCTGTGCCAGGTGTGCCCCTCTCCCCAGGCCCTGAGCTTGCCTCTCAGTCTTGCAACAAAACCTCCCTGGATTCCAGCCCGAGCTGCCTGGGGTTTCTCTGCCGCCCACCCAGAGCGCAGACACAAGGAGATTGTGGGACCGGTGCTTCCAAAGTAATTACCGAGCAGCCCCTCAACCTCCCCCTGCTTCCCTGTGAGCTGCACTCAGTCAGCTCCTCTGCCTGCCTCTTGGGACTGGCCCTTTGGGGTCTCGCTCTCTTCCACCTCCCTGCAGCCTGCAGACAGACGTTCCCCAGCAGCAAGGAAGGCTTCATGATTGCCCTTTTATCTCTTTCCTGACAAAACCCCTTCTGCTGATCCAATCCACTGCCAAAGGGAAGGGCAGGATTAACCCCCAGCTCTCCAAAATGAGCAGGGAGTGGGACTGCATCCAGGAAACAGGGGCATTGCTGATTGACAGAAGCGGGGCCAACAACGACTCCCCCAGATCCATCACTGGCCTCCTGCTGCACTGCCGGACGCTGCCAGCCAAACAGCCAAAAAGTGGGGCTGGGACTTCACGTTCCTACGACCCCCCCTCATTCATGCTACAGTCCTGCATGGAGCCACAAAAGAGCATGAATCTTCCCCTCCCCTCTCCATCGCACACCCACACAGACATGCGCACACAGCCCTCTGTCCCAATGCCGCCTAGTTGTCAGTGCATGAAGGTGTCTGCGCAACAGTCTCTGCCTAAACACAGAACCTCTTTCCTAGGGATCTGATGCATCAATAAGCTTTGCACTCCCATGAATGAGCAAAGACTAAGAACCTAGGGCCTTATTACACCATCATTTTGGGCAGCTCCTGGAGCTCTTAACCCCTGGACCATTCACACATTAACACCATAAAGTGACTTAAAGCACTTGTGCGGCTTAAAGTTACGCCACTCCAGGGCAGGATCTTCTCTTGATCTGCGCAACCCAGCTCCTGTTCCATTAAGGTATGGCCACTCCCCACAAACGCGCAGCTCAAGCTAAAGGTGCGACTGCTCCAAACTAGCACCAAAGCCATCGGCATGCAGCTCACGGCATAAGGTGCAACAAGGCCGGAAGTGTCAGAGCTCTCTCCGCGTGAGGGATCAAGGAGCGGGTTGCCCTGGGGTAGAGCCATCTTTGTTTCCTTGGAATGATCCAGGTATAATTGCAGCCAGGGTCTGATCTCCTGGCCCTGGTCCCAGACCCTTGGGAAATAACTCGATTCACTCCTTCACAGAAAAAGAAAGCATTGCCATGCTGCCCCTTTTTTTTTTGTCTTCCCCCCTTCTCCCCATCTAGGATGGGAGCAGTAAGCCGTGAGATTGCATTGACTTCTGGAGTCCCTCCCCCACTCCCCGACCTTGCAAACTCCCAAGATTTTTCTGAGATCTTTTGCAAAACAACCAACTTCTGTTCAGCGCAGACGGAGAGGAATGAGCCGGCGTCTGCTGAGCATAACGCGACAGCGCTTGGAGAGACTGCTAGAATTGGAAACTTTGGATTGGATTGAAACGAAACTTGTCTGAACCCAGCTCCATGCCTCCCTTTTCGGCGCTCCTTTCCCAACCTTGCATCTCTCCTGGTCAGAGCATGTTTTGAGCTGTGCCGCGTTCGTTCAAACGCCTGGGTCACCTTTGCATTTCCAGCTGAACAGCTGGAGATGCACGCGTGTGCGTGTGAGAGCGAGCATGTGAGAGCGAGTGGGTGTGTGAAAGGTAGCTGGCCGGGAGGAAGGGGGTTCCCTGCTCATGCTTCCATGGAAACAGCCTACAGCAACCGTATCACAAGTTTTTCTCCTGGCTCTGGAGACTTAAACATCCCCGGTTCCAGCACCATCCCCCATGCTGAGAAAAAAAGTTTTGCTTTTGCAGAGAGAAAGACCCAGCTGCTGAATGCGAGAGAAAGGAAAGAGAGAGGAAAGGAAACGTGGTTGCCATGTAGCAGCAGCTGCAGAGCGCAGGGTGGTCTTAGACCCTGGAGAGGAGGCAGCTGATTCCTTGATTGAACCATCAGGCAAGGTGAGAGGCCTCTTAGGTAAAGCACCTGCCCCGAGCTTACCTGTGTGCACCTGCCCCTTCTCCTGCCTGTGTTATTAATTCCCAAGAAAGTGTCTCTCTGGCTGTCTCCCTCCTCCTCCTCACTGCACTTCGGCTCGGACACGAGCGCGCCTCCTGCACGCTCTGTGTGCGCGCACGCCTGTGTGTTTTCTCTGGTTCTGCTCCTCTGAGATTCTCTCGGGGAGGGTGGGTGGGAGCAAGGGAAGGCGGGAGAGTGGGAAAGAGGAAAAAAATGACAACAATAACGTCTTTATCTGGCAGCCAAGCTCCTCGGATTTAATCCGCACACATGTCCTGCCTACCGGAGGGCTGGCGTTTAATAACAATCCCTTCTGCTGCGGAGGCCGTTCGGAGCCCGTGTTTAAAAACAAAGCTAATTAGAAAGAGGCTTCGGAGTTTAAATAAATGCTTTCCTCGCCACGGGCCTGATTCAGGAGAGCGTTGAAGCAACGTGCTTTGTTTCCTCCCTATTCCAGGTGGCACTTTCAGAAAGCATAGGGGGGGCTTAAGCACATGCCTAAGGATGCTTTCCTGTACTGGGGTGTTAGCTGTAGCCGTGTCGGTCTAAGGACACAGGCAGACAAGGCTCTTTGGGTAAGTCTGATATCTTTTATTAGACCAGCAAAAAATTCCTGTGCTAGGGACTCCAGTGTGAAAAGTCCCCTCAAATTTGCCCTGACCTTTGCTGAAGGTCACTAGACGATGGCTAAACCCTCTGGTTCTGGCTCATGCAGCAGGGAAAAATACCCAAGTTTTATTACCACCCACGTTCGTATAACTGTATCTTAAACCGTGTTGGTGTTCGATACCAGGAACACAGGAGGCTGGCAGAAACCACAGTGCTCATTGTCTTCAGGAGGAGGGCAGCAACCAGGGTTTGCACACAATGTCATTCCACCTTCTCCTTGCCAAAACCCAGACAACACTGGGATGGAAAGGCCAGTGGGAGACCCTATCCCACAGAGAGTCCAAGCACAAGGACCCTTAACAATTCCCCATAAAAAGGGCCCCCTCCTTCAGTCAGGATAAAGGATACTCATTTCTGATCTGCTTTGGGATCTATAAATGAAGAGAGGTGGGTATTAGGAATAAAGCAGGCTGCAGTCATGGCCAACCACAGTTTCTCCCTCTGCTTTCTCCTTGGCTGTCATGATGGTTGTCACGCAGGAAAGCATCACTTGGGAGGTCCATCCTACATGCAGTGACTTGCCTGGCCTAAGCCTGGTTGCTAGTGGACATGCCACCATGTTGTGGTGAGTTAGTACTCACTGCCTGCTATGTGCTGAATGTTTTTCAAATGCTTGAGAGTGAAAAGCCTCTACCCTTTGAAGATGGTCCTCTATAATGGAGGACAGACAATCCATGCCACAACATAAGCCACCCTTATGAATGGCACCCAGGTACCTTCCTTGATGCAGGTTCAGCAGAGCTGAACGGGCATGGAAACCGTGCCCCTCTTGAGAGGATCCTTTCCCCCAGGGGTGGTGATGCCCAGTGGCAGAAGCAGGCCAGGAAGCGTTGCACTGTCGCTCTTCTGTCCACAACTAGCCGAGGGCAGCTACCCAGTAGGTCAAGCCTAAGACTTTCTCCAGCAGGAAATCCCTTCCACTTAAGTTTCGGCAGCACAGGCAAATAGCAATGGTTTACAGACCATAATAGCCACCATACCAGGCCAGAACAAAGGTCCATCTAACCCAGTGACAAGTAGTAGGTACTTTAATGTAAGAGTGTAAGAAATAGGGCACGTTTGATCCATCCCCTGCAGTCTCCTGTAGTCACTAGCAGTCCTAGTACAGTCCTGCATAGACTACCCTGGGGCCCATTTCAGGGACATAACTCACACCCCAGCTGAGCTCAGCGGGACCGGACTTGATGTTCAGGGAGCAGCAGGTAGCCCGGGACACTAGCTTGCAGCCAGAGAAGAAAACAAAAATAGAGCTGTGCTGGTTCTCCCCGTCACTTAGACACAGAGTCCAAGGAGGGAGGGGGGAAATGATGTTTGCCAAATGGAAAGAGGCAAAAATCAATAGGGGAAAAAATCTTCTTTTCCACCTTGGAGCTTTACATCAATCCCTTTAATGATGTCACTAGTCCAGAAAGCAAGCAGGGCGGCTGGCTAAGCTATTCGGTGCCCTGTTTTGCTTCCTAATAACCCTCGATCTACTTAAATTCCATCCGTGGGCCATTCTGCCATAGTATCCACGGGCCTCATTCAAGACCACGGTCACGCTGAGCCAAGGACTATGCCCTGAAGAGTTTACAATCTATATAGACAACAAAGACAAAGAGTGAGAGAGGGGAAATAGGGATGAGAAGCAATGTGCTCAAGGTCCTTCAGCAAGTCAGTGGCAGAGCCAGGGACAGAACCTGCCTGGCCAGTGCCCTTGCTGCTGAACCACACTATCTTTCCTTGAAAACACTCCCAAACTCACACCCCTTGAAAACACTGAAGCTGGTTTGAAAATCTTGTGAGTATAAACTGTGCTCTTGGGCAGAGGCTCCATGTGTTGTGTTTCATCACTCCCGTGCTGAGAAATGCCAACACCTAAGTTTCAAATCCACTCTCAAAATGGGATTTTACATGTAGGAAGCAACTAGTCATCACAACAAACACATCTGCAGTGCCAACAGGCAGACGGTGTATCCCACATTAGCTTTGCACATGTGTGTGAAGGAACAAGGGGGCACTTTTGCCAAGGGTGAAGGGAATCAGCTGTTGTGCATCTATACTGATGGGTCTTCAGAGGACAAGCAGTCCTGTGGGGATCCTACCACCCTCCGAGGCTTGCTGCAGAGACTGCCGATGTTGGCTGCCACTCATCTGTTTTGTGTTGGTTATGTTTGTCAGGCAATTTGGTTTTTCTTTAGGAACCAGAGAGAATGAGAAAAAGAAAGCTAGAAGCATTGAGAAAGAGAAAGAGGAAGGAGAATTAAAGCTTACAGAGCAAACTTTTACAGAGTAAATATCTCCTTACTAAGCAGGCTGGAGGACATGGGCTGGCTGGTGGTGCTGTTGTTACAGCAGTTGTATTGCTGTCTGCCTTGCTCGCACACGCTTCCCTTATGCACAACTCCAGCTCCCGCTCCCCCTCCCCTCCGCCCCAGCAGTGATGGGCTCCGTGGCCCATCCTCTTCCCCCGTGAAGAAGAAAAGCGTTCCCACAGGACTCTCAGCACACCACAGCTTTATGCAACTTGTGGCCTATCCAGCCCAGCCCTGACTCCAGGGAGCAACTCGTCTTCTTTAACAGGATCCAGGATAAACCACTTCCTCATTAGGCCACTTGGGAGATGCTGCGTGAGTGAGTCCTGGCCACTCCACCCATTAACTGATTGCTGTCTGATACAGATGTTAACGGGGCGTAATCAGCTTGTCTTGTCCTGAGTCTCACGTGCCCTGGCGCTCTGATCCTGTAGTTTAGCCCAGCTAGCTCCAACCCAGCCCTGCTCCTTCCTGGAGCACAGGCTCAGCTTAGTGCCAAGTTTCCACTTCTATTTCCCACTTCCCTGAGGTTTCTTCAGTCACATCCCTGCTAAGCAGCTTGAATCACGCCCCTGCAATCAAGCAGCTCTGAACAGCCCCATGGCAAACCATTGGCCTTTGACTTCCAGAGGAGCACGGCCTCCAGCTGTAAAACATGGGTCTTACCACCCCACGCAGGCATATCTGTTTCAATATAAAACATGCAGCTTCAGACTCTCATAGATCCTCCAAATGTTCAAGCAGGAGCCTTGGGCCAACTGCAACCTTGGCCATTGTTGGTTCTCAGGTTTCCCCTCTTGGCAGATTGCTGGGGGAACAAGTCAGAGGATGCAACCAGTAGATGACAGGCTGCAGGGTTGTGGGGGGGTGAACTCATAGCACGCACACCTTTTCCTCTCCTTCATGGGTTTTGGCTCTAGAGGCGACACTGCCAAAACGGGGGTGCGGTGCTTTGCAATGCAAACCATGCCATAAAGAGTCTGCCTCTTTGGTTATAAAGCAGCCAGCTCTTCCCTGCTTTGAGTGTCTGCAGGACTCACTGGGTGGGGGGGAAGAGCAGGGGGGAAACAACCTCAGCTGCAGGCTTCTCAAATACCAAGTGTGCAATCAGTCAGTCCCAGGCTTTCCTTCAAGCAAGATGGCTGTGTCCAACAGGCCTGCGCACAGGGCTGCCAGGGGCATATGCTTCAAGATCATGAATAGGGGTGAGGCTGGCTAAAAGAATCATGATTAAAGAAACTCATGCAATGTAGTTATTTATCTTAATATATCATCTGGACCAGGAACTCAGGGTGCTCGGTGCTGTACAAACGCACAGCAAAACGCTCATTGTTGATGTAAAAAAACCCAGGTTCCTTACTGTTTGCCTCTTGGTATCTGAACCTTTAAGGTGCACTTAAGTCACATTTCCCAACTGTCCTTTGCAATCCCCTGGGCTAAGTCACTCACTGTTTTTACAATAGATGAGAGCTGAGCTTGCCCTGTGGACACCAGCTGCAAGAGCTGGGGCTTTAAAAGGGAAATGTCCCGCTGTTGCACAACACACCGGAGAGCTCGAGCACCTACAACACTGTTTGTGAACGCTCCTGTCACCCACCTGCCTGAGGAAGCCTATGTCCTGCCCATCAGCCTGTGGCTGTGATCCACAAGGCACTGAGGATCCTGCTTACGGCAAGCAGGCGTGGCATGTAAGGACACGTGTGCTGTTGTGGTGACGCTGGGTCTTTGCTAGCAGAGCTTTAAGGGTCCCCCAGGAGCTGCAGGGAGCACTGCTGGTGATTCAGATGGGCCACTTTCCCTCTGAACCCAGCGTTAGAGGGTGCTGTTCTGCCTTTCAAATGAGACTTCGACCTCTCGTGGTTTTTCAAGCCTCTGCTGAGCTGTTGATACTGGCACCTGCTGAACTCCAAACTGGAAAATTCCATCCTGCCTCCCTGAGATGCCCCTGGCTTTCCAACGCGATGCAGGTTTCCTCTGTCCTTCCTAACCCCAAACTGTACACCTCTGCACCCCAGAGGTGGCTGCATTTCAGGGGCGGGTAAAGTAAACCCCATGTGCAGTATGCATCACAGTGTACTACATTAGTCTTGTTAAGTGGAAGGCAATGCACATACATCTAAGAGGGATGCTTGGCAAAGGGCATCCCTCTGGAAGTGGAGATGATCAGGGTGGGGGGAAAAGCTGCTTGACGCTACAAGGATGCCACTGTAGCAGTCTGTGGCAGGGAAATGCA